AGTAGTAGTAGTAGTAGTAGTAGTAGTAGTAGTATTAAGTAGTAGTAAGTAGTAGTAAGTAGTAGTAAGTAGTAGTAGTGCTAGTAGTAGTAGTAGTAGTAGTAGTAGTAGTAGTAGTAGTAGTACTAGTACTAGTACTAGTACTAGTACTAGTACTAGTAGTAGGAGTAGGAGTAGGAGTAGCAGTGGCAGTGGCAGTGGCAGTGGCAGTAGTAGTCGTAGTCGTAGTCGCAGTCGCAGTCGTAGTCGAGTAGTAGTAGTGGTAGTAGTAGTAGTAGCAGTAGTAGTAGTAGTGGTAGTGGTAGTAGTAGTAGTACTAGCAGCAGCAGCAGCAGTAGTAGTGGCAGGAGTAGCAGTAGCAGTAGCAGTAGTAGTCGTAGTCGCAGTCGTAGTCGTAGTCGAGTAGTAGTAGTAGTAGTAGCAGCAGCAGCAGTAGTAGTAGCAGTAGTAGTCGCAGGAGTAGCAGTAGCAGTAGAAGTAGTAGTGGTAGTGGTAGTCGTAGTCGTAGTAGTAGTAAGGGAGGAGTAGTAGTAGTAGTAGTAGTAGTAGGAGTAGGAGTAGGAGTAGGAGTAGCAGTAGCAGGAGCAGCAGCAGCTGCTGCTGCTGCTGGTGGTGGTGCTGGTGCTGGTGGTGGTGGTGGTGGTGGTGCTGGTGGTGGTGGTCGTTTTAGTCTTAGTCGTTGGTATTGTGTTGCGCGAGCAATACTTCAAATCGTGTCTGTCTTGAAAGCCTCGGCAAGCCTGCAGGAAGCTTCATGGTGTTATTTCGTTCTTGTGGAGAATTGGTGATGCAGAAGATGCCGTATCGGCATGCGTCGGCAGCCGGCGCGCCAGGAATAGCATAATGTCAAGAAGGGCATAGCCGGATTGATGTCCCTGTGGAAGAGGGTGACAATGAGTGTCAGGCGACGACCTTGGCACTGTGAGTTGCATGACTTGGCAAGCGATGAGTTGCCTGAGTTACATACGCAGCCACGTCTTGCATGGCAGTTGGAGTGGCATGACTTGGTGGGAGAAGAAGTGTTTGCACAGCCAATGGTGGTTTTGCTTCTGATGACTGGGGGAGATGGTGGACAAAGCAGAGTGGCTCAAGGTGGGTGGCAAAAGAAAGGCTGTATGATCTGTATGAATCGTACGCCAATACCACAGCAATGAGCGTGAGTGTCGGCTATACAGCCTGCGACGCCTGAGGACATATCCAGCCTTGACTGAGGACTACAACAAGCTCAAGAGACAGACATAGACAGATAGACAGACTGTATTATCTCAAGATTGTTTGTTCTGCTCTATCCAGGACAATTTCCGGCAATAGACCCAGCCTGCAACAGTGGCTTCTACAGGCAGTTTTGACTGTCCGTACTGCTTTCCAATACCCAGCTCTAAAACCCCGAGCCTCAAATTCATGATGGGAACCTCTTAACAGACATCAGAAAACGACGAGTTCATCGACATCGCACGACCGGGGAGGCCTGGTTTGGGTGTGATCGGGCGACATTGCGATGTGTGTTTTCCCTTTTGGGGATAATGTGATATATTGTGATATATTGTGATATGTTATTTGTTTCCCGGTTCCTCAATCCTTCAGCGAATTCCGTCAGGGCTTGGACACTTCGACCGCCCTGCTCCCTCTGCGAGCCCCATCGAAGGTAAGGCGACACCGCATATCAATCTCTCGGAGGACATCTACCTCGGCTTCAACGCAGCTTGGTTGGTCCTGGAAGCTCTGGGAGGGTCGAACCATTTTCGATACGACAAGTTGCCAACCCTTTGAAATCATGGGAACCTTTCTTTTTCGCATTGACTATAAGATACTATAAGATATATAATACTAAGATGCAAGTTCTCTTTGGGTCTTCGCTACCGGGCTGATGAGACGTTTCGGTGATTCTGCTCTTGATTGGTGAGGTGATGGCTTGGTTATATCGGCTGTTCCAACAATTGTGTGTTGGTTTGCAGATGTTCGCCCTTAACATGACCATGGCTCAGGTCAAAAAACCGTGGGGAAAAATCCGACCACTTCGACTTCCTGGAGTGGGAGAAAGGCAGAGAGGCGGATGGCAGTGGTTTTCAGGGGGGTGGATGGGCGGAGTATCGACTTTAGGCGCTTTAGGGGTCCAAAGTAACTCGAGCATGCCAAACCTGCAGGACTTTCTGACCAGTCTGCAGCGAGCAGGTCTCCTTCAATGCCGCCAGCACCTTCTTGTACAAGATCTCGGGTGGCAACATCGGTGTGTGGCGCTCCAAGGCGGAGCACTCGATCGCGCTATCGGTCATGGAGGATCAACCCATTCGCGGTCCAAAGACCTGGCGGTTTGAGGTGTTTGGCGCTTTGAGGTGTTTAAACCCTATAGAAAAAAGACCGTTGCCTTGCAGTTTGACATCTGCTTTTTTTTTCCAGTTTCTCTTTCCTGGTGAATAGATTTCCCGTCACTCTTTATTCAAGCAAGACACCCAGGAAGACCTCCCAGGGTGTCCGGCCATCAGCTTGAAAGAGCTCAGCAAACATGTGCAAACTAAGACAAGTCCATTGAGAGGAGGTTGGTGGTAAGAGCTTGAAAGGACTTGCGCAAGTGGCTGAACATGCGATGGCGTGCAAGCCAATTGTGGCGCTTGAGGGAAGCTTTTACTTATATAAATACTGATACTGTCGTTACTTACGTACTTATTAACCTAACTGTTCATATACACTTGTTGTATTATAAGTCTATTTGTGAAAGTTCTGATGATGCATGGCATTCAGTTGGCTGTGCATGGATGATCGCCGGATCAAGCCGGCCCGAAAGCCAATGACCTGACTAAGGTCCAGAGCAGTCCGGCCCGCCAAAGGAAGATACACAAGCAAAGCATAACAGAACAGAACATGTTCGACACAAGACACCACATGGCTTGCAGAGGCCATAAAGCACATGTTTCACGACATATACTTTTTCGTGTTCGCATTTGAAGAAAAGGCTGCGTCGCTGCGCTCACTAGCTTTCAGACTGGTGGCGCGGAGCCTAGCAATGGCTGATGGGGGCGGCAAACCCTTTTGGAAAGACGATGAGATCGTCTGCGACAAAGATGGAGTGCCCCACTACACCGGCAGGTATCCCAGCCTCATGAAGGAGTATCGCCGTCGAGTCCTTTTCTGTTTCAACAACCTGGAAGGAGACGGCAAAGACGCAACAGAAGAGGCCAGGGATTTGGAAAAGAAGAAAGCCCGACTCGCAAAGAAGCTCCTGGACGCCCTGCACGGCGAAGCTTGGCGAGCCTGTCAGGATCTTCTGACCAAGGCTGATGAGCTCAAGATGCCAAATGGATACAAGTTGATCTTCGAATGCCTCCAGACCATCGAGAAAGCACCGATCATCCGGAAGACGGAAGCCTTTGACCAGTACTTTGAGAACTGCTTTAGGCGCAAAGGCCAATCGGTGGATGACCACCTCCGGAGGCGGAAGCAAGATTGGGAAGATCTTTGTGATCTGAGTGACAACACCTCAATGAGCGAGGACCTTCGCTCATACTTCTTGCTGAAGAACATCAATCTGGGCCGTGATGACAGGAGATCCATCCTTCTTGCAAACCAGTCGGATGACACCATCGCTGGAATCGAGAAGGCGCTTCGTGTTAGCTACTATGATGTCCATGAGAAGGAGAAGAAACAAAGCTGGCAGCCGAAGCAAGACAAGCCACACCGGCGTGATGGTGGGTTCCGCAAGCGCGGATGGGCTCATTGGGCTGAAGAGGTTGATGATGAGACCGCCGAGTTCGAGATTCAAGAGTATGCCAACTACGACCTCGACGAGAATGACATGGAGCAAGAAGATGATGAAGAGGCCTATCAAGTCGAGGAGGCCTATGAAGTTGAACAGCACTCGGATGAAGGGGCATCACAAGACGAAGATGTCTACAATGCCTATGCAGCCTTCGACAAGATGAGAAAAGGCTACAAGGAGAGCCGTGCCAAGTTGAAGGAGTTGCAGAAGAATCGAGGCTTCTTCCGAGCAGATCTTCGTGGAGAGCTCACCTATGATGAAAGAAAGCAAGCGATCGATAAGGAGAAGCAACGGACAAGATGCGGCACCTGCGGCCACGTCGGCCACTGGTCGGGGGATCCTCAATGCCCTCGAGCATCCAAGTCCGGTCCCAAGAAGATTCAGTCAGGTGCAAGTGGAAGCAACAAGAAAGGGAAGCGCAAGGGCAAGTCCCGTGGCAAGGCCTATTTGGTCGGAGATGAACCTTTGTTGTTTTCGCTGGATGATGATGATGGAGAAGAGACGCATGCAGCCTACATGATTGGCCCTGGGGAGAAGGAGGAAGATCAGATGCAGCAAGATGCCGGGCTCAATGACTTTGATGAACGTCGCAAGACATCGGCCAGTCAGGCCGTGAGCCCACGATCTTCTTCGACTTGGGAGCATGTCGCACCGAATGACATCCCCACAGCTTATGCCGGCACCACTACGATCGCTGGCCCATGGCTTGGTTCAGGTCCACAGCAGGTGGCGGAGATCACATCACAAGTTGATTGGATGGTCCCGGTTGCTTCAGAGAAGATGTCCCTGCTTTATGTCAACAGCTTTCAGGAGGTGATGCCAGACACGCCAATCATGGAGATGAAGGCCCGTGAGCTGCAAGCAGAATGTGAGCATTGGAACCTCCAGACATCCGGCACCAAGGCACAGATGCAAGATCGTTTGAACAGCTTCTCCGAGGAGATGCAGTTTTGAAGAAGGGCAGCTCAAGTCGCTATGTGAGGTTGGTCACCGAGGCCCCAAGGCCGAAGTCCGTGGTACAGCCAGCTTCACCCAAGAGGATGCCAATGTCAGCCAGTTCGGCACCCAACTCACCGGCACCAAGTTCCAGCGTTCCCCATGGCAGTCCGGCATCAGTTCGAGTCACCACGGCAGTCCGACTGCACGGAGGAGGCCTGGAGGAGGAACCGCAGAGCCAAGGACTGATTCTCCCAAAGTCCAAGTCGCCAATCTATGTCGACGCCACTGCCGCTACCACTTCGACTACATCCATTGCCCCAGGACACCAGAGGTACACTGTTGGCGGGACTTTTCGCCAAGATCCTCGCTCAGGTATTCCAATCCCTACGGGCATGGCAGTGGGAAAGGCGACCATGGAGGTCACGTGTCCGATCTGTGAAAGCGCTATGGTTCTTCGCGCGAACCGAGTTGATGGTGGTCTTTTCTTTGGTTGCAGCCGTTTTGGAAAGCAGGAATGCACTGGCACTCGACGATTTGATGAGGTGGTGCGGCCGGCATCACAGTATGGCCACCGGGCATAGCCCGGCAAGTGCATTCAATGGCAGCAACAATGTATCACCGCCATTCCTGGCAAGCGCTTTCATGAACCGGGATGGTGAGCATGAGCCGAATTCGATCCTTGAGCCCAATGCCAAAGACTTCGAAGCGAACACGATGAATTCACTGCATGATGAAGGTGGGCACGACTATGATGATGGTCCACAAGATGAGTCACGACTTTGTTTGCTGGATTCCGCATGCACGGCCTGCATGCACAGCCGGAGGTGGAGACAAGCCTATGAGCGAACACTTCCGGCAGGCCTCAGCTGCAAGAAGACAGATCAAACTAAGGTGTTCCACTTCGCCAACGGAGCATCTACCGAGGACAGAGTTGCTGTTTGGGAGATTCCCATTTTTCTTGGAGGTCGTAGAGGACAGGTATACAGTGCTGAACTTCCAGAAGGTTCTACACCGCTGTTGCTTTCCATTCCTGCCATGACAGCATTGGACATGACCCTCCAGATGAAGCAACGCAAGGTTCTTGTTCAGTCGCTCAACATTGAACTTCCCATGTTTGTCACCAAGACAAAGCACCTCGCAGTTGAAGTGGCGTACAAAGAAGGTTCAACAATTCCAGAGCTTTCGATGGAAGCAGCCCCTTCTGTGATGTCTGACAAACGTGACCTTATGGTTTACTACAGTGAGGAAGCAGAGTTTCCTTTGTTGAGCGAGATGGCCGATGTTGAGGTCTCCATGTTCTCCCGCAGCAAGGACAAGCAGCAACCAACTCTTGGAGCACGTGGCATCTTGAACAATGATGCAAGAGGCCAGCTGTCTGAGAGAAGAGCGAAGGAGTTGCAAGCAAAAGCTCAGAAAGCGCAAGCAGTTGATTCTCGCACCTGGGCAGCTTTGAAAAGACAGTACAGTCTTGCAGAGCAATGGGCGACCAAATCTTTTTCCACCACAGTTCTCTTCGAACCTTTTGGAGGGAATTTTGGAGTCACAAGAGTAGCATCCCATGTTCACGGATGGACGAACAGCCAACCGCTGGATCTCATGGATGGCTATGACATCATTTCCCCTGGACGCCAACAGCTGTTGTGGAAAGTTTTGGAAGAACATGATCCCTACATGGTTCTCATCGCCTTCCCATGTACTTTCTGGAGCTTGTTGTGCAACCTCAGCCAAGGTGTTGACTGGGGAAAGTTGAGGAGAACATTGGGTCGAGCAACATTGCTTTTGGTCGTGCGCATCTGTGTTTTTCAGCACCGCAGAGGACGTTTCTTTTTGCTAGAGAACCCAGCCGGGTCTATGGCGTGGGTATTTGAGAAGATCATTGCAAAATTGTTTGTTCTTACAGATGGTGTTTACACCACAGGCGATCAATGCAGATATGGCAAAGTTGATCTGGAAAGTTTGAGGCCCATCAAGAAACCAACGGGATGGCTCAGCAACAACCAGTTTGTCCTCAATCAACTGGGTCGCAAGTGCACATGTCGTTGGGGTTCACACCAGCAAGTTTTGGGGAGCAACCAATTTGGTTCCAGAGCTCTTCAAGCAGCAGCATACCCTGAAGGCCTCAGCCGGGCGATTTGCTCCGGCATTCTCATGAGCATGAAGTTTGAGTACAGCCTCGCCATGTCTTACAAAGCAGGTTCACACAGCTTTGTCTCCTTTGAACTTGCCTTCCCAGCTCGTGATGAGGTGGATGTTGATATGGAGGAGGCAGATCGGGAGGAGGTCACCAGGGAAGATGCGCAGCATGACAAGTGGACGGTCATTCAACCAGATCGTCTCATCCGAGAGCATTTTGTTCCAAGGTTGAGACTTTTCATGCCGGCAGCTTTGACAGAGCCACCCATTCCGATTCACCGGATCTTGCCCGGGAGACGAACTGTTGCCAAGTATTTGAACCACAACAGTGAAGTTGTTGACAATGAAATTTATGATGATGAATGGGCAACAGGTGGTGTGAGGTCTATGTATCGTACATGGGTGGGCCACACAGAGTTTCGTTTCCAGCCAGAGGAGCTTCAAGAGCGTTTTCAGCCTGTTGCAATGAACCAACCTTCACAACCGGAGCTTGTCGATTTTTCTCCCTTGACGCCGGCACCGGCGACACCTGCACCTGGCACACCAGGTATTCTGCAGAGGAGAAGGGCGCGTACCCGACAGCTGCAACGTGGCTTCTGGACTGAGATTGAGAGTCCGGATGTGGTTGATCTTTTGGAAAGAACTTCAGAGCACATACTGGAGCAGGGAGCTGGCGATTGGACACTTTTGGATCCCAATAGCGATCTTTTTACAGAGTGGCAATCCCATGAGTCAGCAAACGCAGATGTTGTTTTAGCTCTCTGTTCACACCGTGCCAAGAGGATGAAGAAACCTCAACCACATGCAGGTCCAGCAGATGTTCCAGTGCGTCGCTCATACCTTTTGTTGGCAGGTGGAGAAGACGGCAAGCAAGGTCTGAGCACAGACTGGGAGGATTGGGCACAGATGGCACCTTCGTCACAACAGCGTCCACTTGTTGGTACACACCGTGTTTTCTACATGGTTTTGTATGGCAAGCCTGCAGGTGAAGCTGATGATCAGAAAGGTGACAAGTTTTTGCAACAAGAGCTGGAGCGAGAACGGAAGTGGCAAGTTTTGCCGCGAGAGCTGAAGCTAGCATTGAGGCGTGTTCACATCAACTTGGGCCATGCAAGTCCCCAGGCTATGATGAAGGCATTGCGCATTTCACGTGCATCAGCAATGGCTCTGAAAGCGTGCAGGTTGTTTCGATGTGCAGATTGTCCACGCCTCAAAGTGCCAAAGCTCCCACGACCTAGCAAGCTACCCGTTGCAGATGAGTTCAACACACACGTTGGAGTTGACATTATTTCTGAAAAGGATAGCACTGGTCAGAGTTGGCAATGGCTCAACATCCTTTGTCAAGGTACAAGTTTTCAGGTTTGCATCCTCCTCGGCGACACCAACATGAATCCTACAGGGAAGGCAGTTCTTGCAGCTTTCCACCAAGGCTGGACGTCTTGGGCAGGTTTTCCGGAAGTTGGAGTGATAGCCGACAGAGCAAAATACTTTTTGTCTAGCTTCGCTGAGGACATGGCCGACCATGGTTGCAGATTTGATACAGCAGCAAAAGCATCACCTTGGCAGATAGGGATGATTGAGCGGCATGGTGGTTTGTGAAAAGAAACTTTCAGACGCACAGCCTGGAGTCAACAAGTTGCTGGAAAGGATGAGGTTTTAGCAACAACTTCAGCAACCAATGCCGCTAAGAACAGTCTTTGCAGAAAAGGAGGTTTCAGCCCAAACCAATGGGTGCTGGGGAAGGACATCAGACTTCCCGCTTCGCTCGTCGATGATGATGAGGTCAACAGGATTGGTTCTCTTGCTTTAGCAAGCACTCCTGGCACCAAGTTCCATCGCAAGCATCAACTTCGCATGGCCGCGAGGCAAGCTTGTACAGCAGCTGCAAACTCAGAAGCCCTGAGGAGAGCCGAACTTCGACAGGTTCGACCACATCGCGGACCCTGGCTTCCAGGCATGTACTGTTTTTACTATGATGGTGCAAACAAAGATCCTGGTCCTAGCAATTGGAGAGGTGTGGCTCGTGTCATTGGTTCAGAGGGCAGTCATACAATTTGGATTTCACACAGAGGCTTGTTGTTGGCCGTGAGTCCTGAGCACTTAGCCCGAGCTTTTGACCAAGAGGTTCGGCAATGGGCAATCGTTGATCAGGAGCGTGAGTTGATTGACGCAATGCCTGCAGCTGGTGGAACAGGGTTCATTGACCTTCGGAAAACTCCATTACCACCTGCACTCACCGAAGGCGCAATAGCAGATGTGCCAGAAAGTCAGCAGGAGGATGACGATATGGGCATTCCGATTGAAGGTCCTGAGCAGCCGCCACAAAGAGCCGAAGAACCTTCCAGTGAGGAGCAAGCAGCACCTGCGCCAGTGGAGAATGTCTCTTCGGAAGACCTCAGTGCAAGCTCTACATCCATGGCCCGGATGAAGCTGGAATCTGACAGAGATCAGAGAAGAATGTTGAAGAGCAGCGAGTTCTTCGACAAACGAGCTCGTGAGAGAAGGGAAGCTCGTGAAAGACGACAATCCGATTTCGAAGAAGCTGAACGACTTCGTGAACAGCAGAGACAAGCAGAGGCAACACCTATAGAAGAAGATGTTTTTGATGAGGAGCTTCACGACTACCACCAGAGTCGACCGACCCGACAGTTGACACCAGTCGTGGAGGACCCAGCTGCAGAGGCAAATGAAAGAGAAGCTAAACGCTTGAGAGTGTCTGAGGATAGTCCTGAGACCGCCAACTTCGTCGATGCAGCAGACAAAATTCCTTTTGCTTTCATGGCCACCGAACAAGAAGGTTTTCTTGAGGAGACGGCATATGCCTACTACATGGACAGGCAGCTGGCCTATGAAGGCCTTGGTGTTAGTTTGGACACTTTCATTTTTGGCATGCGGCGCAACGACTTCTACGAGCGCTACAAGTCCATGCAGGAGCACGCCATGCAAGGCACAGCTCTGAGTGCCCCAGACACCAAGAAGAAAGGAAGAAAAGAAGTGAAACTTCATGAGTTGAAGCCCGAGCTTCGTCGAGAGTTCACCAAAGAAGGAGGCTCAGATCAACGAGAGTGGGATGCTTGGAAATCCAAAGAAGCCTGCGATGTTTTGAGCCCAGATGAGAGTCGCAAGATTCAGCAAAACAGCCCAGAGCTCATCATCTCCACAAGATGGGTTCGCACAAACAAGAATGATGGTTTGCAAAACAAAGAGTTTTTAGCAAAGAGCAGACTTGTTGTACTGACGCTCGTACAAGGGTTCAAAGACCGGTCCCTTGGACATTTCAGGCGGGGTGCACCAACAGCTTCAGCAATTGCAGAGTCGATTGTTTTGGCAATTTGTGCCTACCTCGGTCTGACCTTGTTTGCCAAAGATATCAAGAACGCCTATTTTTCTGGACGCAGTTTGGAAAGAGAGGTTTATTTGTCCCAACCTCGTGGAGGCTTGCCCGGCCTTCAAGAAGGCCAACTCCTGAGAGCTCGAAAAGCCATTTACGGTTTTGCAGAAGCTGCGCGAATGTTTTGGCTTGCTTTGAGGGAGTACCTCATTTCAGATGGCTGGCAGGAAAGTCGTTTGGAGCCCGCTTTGTTTTATTTGAGGCAAGGCAACAAGCTTCGTGGAATCCTGGTCAGTCACGTAGATGATCTTGAGGGAGGTATACAGCCTGATATGTTGGAGACAGCTTTTTCAAAGTCCTCACAAGCACTTGAATTTGCTACCAACCACTACAAAGACTTCATTTTCCGTGGCAGGGAGATTCACCAGACTCCAGAACGACATGTTGATGTCAGCGTGAAGAACTACGCTTTGAGCATGAAGCCGGTCCGCATCGAAAAGCACCGTCGGCAGCAGCTTGATTCAGAGCTGACAAAAGAAGAACTCGACCTCCTACAGAGTTCAGCTGGCGAGCTCGGGTGGATCACCCGGCAGTTGAGGTGCGACCTGGCCTTCGAGAACGGCGTGATTCAAAGATGCAAGACAGAAGCTTGCATAGCTGACCTTGTTCGCTTGAAGCAATATGTTGGACAAGCTCGACGAGGCGCCAACTTTAGACTTCGATACTGGAGCGATGTGAACTTGAGTGAAGCCGTGGTTGTGCATTTAGCCGATTCTGGTTTTGCAAATGGCAGCCCTGAGCACAATGGCCTTCTTCGCTACCGCTCGGTGGGAGGCTACTTCATTCTCCTTGCCAACAAGGAGATACTTCAGGGACAACCTGCAAGATGCAACATGATTTGTTTTCAGAGCAGCCAAACCAAAAGAGTGTGTCGCAGCACGCTAGCAGCTGAAGCCAGTCACCTAGCAGAAGCGGTTGAAGCTGGAGATTGGGTAACAGTTGTTTTGGAGGAGGCTCTGACCGGAGATGTTGATCTCCGGAATTGGCAAAGTGTGATAGAAAGAAGGGAAAGGGTCTATGTGACCGATGCAAAGTCGGTTTACGACTATCTGCGTAAGGACGCCACAAGCACCAGCACTGACAAGAGGATGGCAATAGAAGGTGCACTCCTAAGGGAGACCGTGAGAAAGCCCAAAGCAGATGTCAGATGGATCGATGGAATGCAAAACATAGCAAATGTTTTGACCAAGCACAATGCCGAGAAGGACACCCTTCGAGAGTTTCTGAGGACAGGCCAAATGTCGCTGACGCAGACAGAGGCCAACCAAAAGTTGAAAGAGAAAAGACGCCAAGAGCGCCAGAGCAGAAGTGAAAAGAAAAGAAGTTTCAAAGAAACCAACAAAGAAGCTGATTTGAAGCAGAAAAGGACTGCAAAGGCCGAAGCCATTCGACCTGGAGAGGCCGATACAAGTGAAGAAGATGATGCACAGCCAAAAGAAAAATAATCAGTGTGAAAGTTCTGATGATGCATGGCATTCAGTTGGCTGTGCATGGATGATCGCCGGATCAAGCCGGCCCGAAAGCCAATGACCTGACTAAGGTCCAGAGCAGTCCGGCCCGCCAAAGGAAGATACACAAGCAAAGCATAACAGAACAGAACATGTTCGACACAAGACACCACATGGCTTGCAGAGGCCATAAAGCACATGTTTCACGACATATACTTTTTCGTGTTCGCATTTGAAGAAAAGGCTGCGTCGCTGCGCTCACTAGCTTTCAGACTATTTTATATTAACCAAGTCCCGGAATCATGCTTGGTTCCTCGCCCGAAATGATCCGTTGGTCACTTTCGTGCCAGCTTCAATGTAAAACAGATAGAACCACAGGTGCCTATCAATACATCCACTTTGTAGAAAGATTCCTGTCCTTTTTGTAGCTGGACCATTTTCCTACCCTCAACCATCCCAAGGTATAGGTTCGTTACGTTGACCTTTGGACTTCAGGAGCCGCAGGCTTTGGTCATGTATTCCATGCGCAAGTGGGCTTTGGGGTTAACCTATATGTGTGTTCGCCATGCCCACATGCGTAGAGTATCTTGCAGGTTTTTACAGTGGTTTCAGAGTGCATTCGCACCCCTGCATGTCTTCTATATGGAGGTCCATATAAACCACCCATTTGTGCCATCTACTCTCCATCCACCTGCCATGAGTTTCTCCATTTCCTGTCGCCCTCCTGTGAACTGGACAGGACCTCACGGAGAGTGCAATGGTACTGCCGACGGCGGGGTTCGAGTGCGGAGCGGGGGTGACCGGGGTCGTTCACAACTCCTGTAGTGGAACATCAAGAACTCCAAGATTGATGCATCAAGAAGTATTGTTTAACTTTTGTGTGCAGCTTATCGAAAAAAATAAAGGGACTCTTGTCTAGGCTACCAGATTCACATCATCGCACCTTTGAATCTGATTTCATGCACTGGCATAGTAGGCTATCGGCATTAATAACCGGACACAACCAAACGTGTCCATGCATATATATATATATATATTTATAGAATAGCCACATGTTTCTGTTTATGGTATGCACGTGTTTCTGAGTCGATTCTAACTTCCTTCCTGGCACATACCATGAGAGTCACTCGAGCTGCAAAAACCGAGGTGTTCTGCCCTTGAGGACCCAGACGGAAGCATTCCACTTCGAAGTGTGACCCCTTTTGGTCTCAGGAACCCTATAGGTTTTGTGGGCGCAGATCCAGGTGGATCATCACCACTTGGATCATCGTCGTGTTTGTTCACCGCTGGACAAAAACACATCTCCGACACGAACGATCACGTCGTCTCAGATCGATTTGTTCTCCTTCTACTTTGCCACCGTGGGTTACTTCGTGTCCTTGACCGTCATCGCCGGGATCCTCAGGGCATCGGCGACCGGTCGGCCACCGCCAGCGATGCCTTCATGAAGACGTTGTCCACGTGTTGTTTTGAGGAGACATTCAGAATCAGGATTGGTGGGCGGGGTATGATTCTTGCACCCCTGATCAAGTCATTTGGGTCTGGGTAAAAAAGTCCAGCCATTGCTCCACTTCACTCTGTTGAACTCTGTTGACTAGGCCCATGGACATAGGCTGATGAGAAACGTCCTTTGCAACATTATGCTACGTCCTCGTAGCATCTCGCATCACGTGGAAAGCCAGCTGAGCCAGTACGTGGATTCTGAAATCAATTATTCATTGCTTATATGTTGTCTTGTTTTTGGGGTGTCCCTAATTGTCAAACACCATAATGGTACTTGTTGAGCGAGCGGCCTGATGCAAAATCACTTTGATGGAATTTGCACAGCACGTTTGCAATATGATGCAATATACTCGTTCTCTCAGAAATATTTTTGGTGCGCGTGAACGAGGCCATGGCTGTTGGTTAGGAGACCAACCTGAGCAAAGCCTGAGCGTGACCTACGTTCAAGCTAGCTAATATGTCCACTTGTTGCATGTTGTCCTACGAGTACCACGGGTTACAAAGAAGCCATTGACACTAGATCAACTTGACGTCACCACAAAAGACCTGCTTATAGGGACCACTGCGAAAACCAAGAGATGTCTTCACTGGGCCGACTCTTCCCAAGGCTTCACTGCCGATGACTTGTGCAAGACCGATCGTGTCATGACATGTAATGTAGACACTTGATTTCATTACAACAAATCTCTATGAACAGGTCGTTCAATCCAAATGGGGTTTGTTTAGAGGACCATGACCATGTACTTCTCTTGTCTATAGACACTTGTTAACCCCTCAAGAGTGACGTACTTTGGGACCATGTACTGAGGACATGACCATGTACTTCTACGTGGGCTTCCACTTGATGCTCACCATGGCCTCTGTCTCGCTCCACGAGCCTCCTGGTGAAACGACACCGGGCGACCTGGTGCGATGACTCGTTTCACCACTCGTTTTGGTTCATTTCTTTGTGCGATGCCCACAGGTGAGACATGAGACTCAAAGAGTGGGAAACACTTGGTGATTTCTGTTTGATTTCTTTGTTCTCATGTGGTTAGCTTCTGAGTGCGGGGCGTCAACTAGAAACCAGTCGGATGAATATCTCATCGGTTCAGAATCAGAAGGTATAATTTCAGATGCAGAGACTGACTGGTTTCGGCAAACATGTGCAAACACAAATTAAAACTATATATGTTATATAAAACAATGCACGACCTCCAATTGGTTCAACAACTCACGTTGCTTCATGTTTCTGAGAGTATTGTATACAGCCACGGCTTCCGCGGTGAACCCGTGAACCGGAACCGCCCGAGAACGGCGCGCGCGGCGAGAACTGCGCGCTGAGCTTTTCATTGGAAGTGGCGGGTAGGGGGGGTCACCCGAGGCAAGACCTCCTGTGATCGGTGGGTTTGCCTCATGTGAGGTCATTATTAAAAGACCGTCATGGACCTCATGTGTTCAGGTCCAATGGTCCAAAAAGCGGAACAGGTTGGGCTTCTTGGGTTTGCACACCCTTTCTCGCTTCGGGTCGTTCTCTTGGGCAAAAAATGGATGCACACGTAGGTCTCCGTCCGATCCGATGCCCGAGGCTGGGGACCTTGGGCACCACGATGTCGGTGGAGTGGATCCTTGGACCGGGCTTCTTCATGTGAGCCGAGAAGTCGGAGACGTCGCCACTGAGCGGAGGGTTACACGATCTCTCGGAGGGTTTCTGATCGTGTTTTCCTTTTTGCCCGCGGCTGAAATGGAAGTGATTGGAAGTGACCAGGTGCAAAATGGTGATTGGGTACCACAGCTACTATGTGAAAAAAATCAAGGGCCAAAAGTCGAGAGATCAACGGAAGCTGAATCTGTTTGAATTGGTCCGAGATAGGTCAGATAGATAGGTTCGGTTGAGACTTGAGGCGATGACCACATATCTCAGTGGTCGTCGCTTGTGCCCGTGCTTTTTTGGAATCCGGGAACATGTAGAATTGACTCAGCAACAAACCTGGACGAAGGCCAGAAGCAACAATTCAAAACATTCAACCATCATGAGGTCAAAAGCGACCCACCAGCTACTTTCAACTCCAAGGCTCAGGCTCAGTTGAGAAGACACAGATCATAAACAATCATAGACTACAACGTCGTTTTTCGCACCGTTTTTCGCACTTAGTACAGATTATATCAAAGAGGATACCCAGACACTCCATGTATGGTGTATACAATACATATACATCACGTAGGATCAAACATTGATCCCCAGACCACCCCAACTGATCGGCATAGTAATACCATACCATTGAGTGTTTGGGATGGGCTCAACTCCAGCTCCCGGAGGTTGGAGGCGACATGCGCTTTTTAAGGGCCCAAACCAAGCACCACCGTCCTTTTTTGCTGAAATCAGAAGAGGTGCTAAGCTGCTAAGTCATGTGCAAAAACTCAATTTGGTTTCTTTTCTCAGAAGTTTCTGGAGCTGAGACGTGCCTCTTCCAACTCTTATGACGAAGGTATACGAAGATATATAGTGAACAGCCCGCCACTACTACCAACAAGTCGGAGGGTTGCATTGAAGCTGTACACTCAATATATGTGTTTGTATGTGTTTGTTTACACTAGCATTAGCAAACAATGGCTGGGCTGAGCTGTGAAGAGATGCCTTGAAGGCAAAAAAGAAATGTGTGCCCAAGTAACCAGTAACTCAAGGGCCATTCTGGCACCAAGGCCCAATGTCCAACTGCACTGAGCTCATAGCAAAGTATGTGTGAATTCAACCTGGTTGCCTACTCATTTGCACTGAAGCTGATTGAGTTTACGAGCACCAGTTGAGTTTGTGAAATGTAACTGCACCAGGCGGTGGATTGCAAGGGTTTTATTTGTTCTATGTTTGGTGGGAGGTAGTTGTCCAAAAAGCTATGTGGAGTCCACCCTACCAGCTGCTTCACAGGGGTAACCCATGGACAACCCTATGCCGCTACGACCCTTGCAGGTTTCCATTGGATGCCCTGACAAGAAGCGCTAGATACGGGTCCTACAATCTTAGGTTGGAGGCCATCGCTCTTAGGAGCGATCGGAAGCTACTAGTGGGCTCCTGGCCTTACTACTAGGAGCAAGGACGCTACTAGGGGCTCCTGGCATCGCTACTAGGAGCGATCGTACGCTCTTAGGTTGGAGGGAAGAGACTGAATACAAGAGTTGAATAAGATTAACTCGAAAGTTAATTCTTCAGCAACAGCCCCCATTCAATGCGCCAGCCTCAAAGGATCAACTTGGGAGTTGATTCTGCCAGCTGTGCCAGCAGCCCAAACCAAGAATTAACTTCTGATTTAATTCTTTTTAAAGAGTGTTTGGCCATTTCCCTCTCTCCCTCTCTCTCTCTGCCTGTCTGTCTTTCTATCCTTGTCTATCTTCCTA